TTTAACGAAGTTTGTGTTATTTGTTCTAGTGCTGTTAAAGTGCCCGGTGTTGAGTTGGACTCTGGAGCCCCCTGGCAAGTTTAACCTTGGCTCTTCTTTGAGCTGCCTAAAATAATATATACAACAAAAATGCCTTGTTATGTTGATTCAAATGACACATACATTCAAATATGTCTCTGTTTGTTTATTGTTTCTGTTTTGGTTCCCCATAGGTCTTTATGATCCATAGCGTGCTTTGTGCTATAGGTTCAGGGCGTGGCCAAATTAGCTTATGTAAACAGAAAGTGGATTCAGGTTGCAAAACTCCAGTTGTTGTTGTTTTTTGGAAGGTGAAAGTAGTTTTATTTTTCTAGATTGTCTCAGATAGAAAACATTAAATATACATTTTTGTTTGTGTGAACCAGGTTTAAATGTTGAAGATTTATTTTATTTGATTAACGAAATCAGGAATAAATGAAATGAAAACCAGGATGCTTTTTTCAGGGCTATTAGGCTTCCTGCTGGTGCTGACAGCTGAGGTCAGATTCGGGTAAGAAACTTGGATTTAATCCCCTTTGAGCAGATTTCTGCAGTCAATCAAAGTTACAGAGTAAAAACTCATAGGCACTGTTGCCGCCACAACTCAAACTTTAAAATCCTAGATCAACATCTCTTAATGTCTGTACCAGTGCCATCTTTCTTTTTTGTAATAAAATTCTCATTAATTTCACTGCAACTCCTCTGACTTAGACTTCTGTCCTGAGGCAGAGCAGTGTCTGATGTTTGATGTGATTTGTCAGACTGGTGATTTTGAGGTGATTGTCTCTGAGCTGGAGAGAAACATTTTCACATTTCAGGTGCCAGAATTAAAAATGAAAAAAGAACCCTCTCCTCCATGTAAATACTTTTTAAGAACAGGTAGTCTCATTGAGATTGATCTGTGCACAAAATAAATACAGCACAAGGTTCAACAAACAATAAATTCAAACACAAAACATACCTTCATTTTTCAATAAAGAAAATAGTTACAACATTCAAGATGCTCAAGTATAATGATTTTTCAGCTTAAAAAATTAGAAGTTAATTTACTTTACAATATCTTTAGTAGTTTTTTTTCCATTGTGATGTATTTAATAGCAGTTTTTCCAACCTATCTTTTGACCCTGTGGTACTAAGTGACTATTCAAGGTAACTACACATACCTTCATGTTTTTATTTTCTTATGCTTTTTGTGTACAATAAATGTTTGTAATGGAATTCCAGTTGCTTACATGTAAAAAGTTCTTTATTTCTTCCTTTAGGAACAAAAATCAAAATGGCAAAACCTATTGTTACGCTAGTTTCCTCATCAGCCTCCTCAGCAATCTGCTATCTTCACAGACATACGTTGGTGCCAGCTGAGTAGCAAGAAGATGCCCCCAGTTCCACTGACGACAGGGTGAGTTTCTATAATACCAAAAAACATTATTGCCTTTTATAATATTAAAGTGATATTTTTGCCATAAGCTCCAGCAGCTGATTAAAGTTTCCTTGTAGGTGCACATTTTTACCACGGTGGAGTTTAATGTGTACGTAGCGAGCTATGATGGACGGCTGACAAAAAGGGCTGAAAGAAAGAATGCACTCACTCTGTCTAAACACATTGACTCAGTTCATACAAATTACATGAAGGACTTCCAACTCTCTGCCTCATACAACAGGTAAACAAATCAACTTCATAATAATCAGAAAGATAATGATGAGAAGGAAAAAAACATTATTATATATACATATATATGCATATTACAATAAATTGTGTGTGTGTGTTTGCAGTTCAATGATGAGGGAGAGGCACAATGAAGTGATGGTTGTTGGGGGAGCCAGTGTGTCCCAGCCAGGACTGAACAGCCACTGGACCTTCACTGCAACTTCAAGTCATAGTGTCACATAAATAAGCTTGTGGGAACAGGTTGGACTTGTAAAATAAAATACAAAGATTAAATCCATGTAAATGTGTGTGTGTGTGTTTGTGTGTGTGTGTGTGTGTGTGTGTGTGTATTTGCTTTTTGCAGTCCATTGTCGACCGTGGGGCACAGACAAAATGAGGTGTTTTATGTTGTTCAGTTGAACCCGTGTGTAACTCCAGTGAAGAGTTGCAATCATGAACGGCATGCAACGACAGCATGAATGGGAAGACCCAAACTTCCCTATAGCTGCAAGTTATATATCATATAAATAACCCTTACAGTGACAATTTGAAAATCTATGTGAACAGATTGCATCATGTGGACTATTGTGCTGACTGTATTACTTTGTTTGATGGCTTTCAATAAAGTTTCTTTTTGGGGTGACTTCATGTGATCGTTCTTGGTTGGACTGATTCTGAAATGTGTCTAAAGCAGCTCATTCTGTAAAAACAAAAAAAATGGCATCCAGTAGATTGCATACCTCCATGCTCGCTCCATTCACTCCCATTCATTGAGGACCACCTTGTGATTGCCCTCCAGGTGAATTGCAGCAAATTTCAGTACGATGGTATCAGAGGATAGAGGACACGCTCTCCATAGACAGACTCTGACAGAACTATTTACACAAAACAAGATACAACATATTCTCATCACAGTTAAGACTAATATTACTTAACAAACCACAGATAATACCACCAAGAACAACAAGACCAATATCTCCAGAATTACACTGCTATGCACATACACATCAGCAGTTGAGGCTTTTTATGTATATGCATTTGTTATCCTTGAATATTTCACATTTCATAAAGATTGGCCTTAATGAATGAATGGAGGCTAATGGAATTGTAGCCACAAAACTTAATATCATGGGGTAAAAGAAATAAATAATCTGAGGGTTTTTTTCATACCCTAACCCTAACCCCACTAACCCTTTCAATGTAAGGGATCAAAACAATAGCAATAGTTCCATTAAATCAGATTTGCACCTTTTCAGTCTTTGCAAAATACTTTTATCTGAGTATTTGTGTGAGGGTGAAATATAGTTGTTAACACCGCCATGACTGGTTCAAAGGCCCTAAACTTTCTTAAGATTGTTTACATTTGGCTGTCAGACACAATGATCGTCCTTGTCCTCCTTGAGATCGTCAGTCAATTTCATTTATTTCCTTAGACACCTTAGACTTGGTTTCATCGAGAAAGGTGTCCTATCACAATCAGGTGCAAATTTTAAATATCTTATTGTCAAAATTGCACAATCCTTTTCTTTACAACGTATTGCACAATCCCTGTATATGAAAATGTATACATACATTTTGTTTATTTTTATTAACCTACTTGGTAATAAGCCCAGATTCTGATTCTGAAATCTTTAACTGACCAATTAGAATGCATTAGCAGAAAACAGGATACACAGGAAGCAGGATATGGCAAATCGCCTTTTACATTTCTTCATTTCAATTTTGATCTATAATCACTACTACATAGAGGACCACCTCGTGACTGCCATCTAAATGAATTGCAGTGAATTTTGGTACAGTGGTATCAGTTGAAAGAGGACATACACAGACTCTGACAAAACTATTTAAACAAAACAACTGAAAGAGGTTACAGCTGTTTTTAAAAACCACAGTTACAGGATCAAATGCAGCTTGTAGGCCCAGGGCTAAAGCATCCTAGTCTATAATGTGTATTCTGGATCAGCACAAATGCAAATAAATATACATATACAGCAGCTCCCACTCAGCTGCCCTAGTACACCCCTTGTTATATTATTCCTATTCAGTGTGTCATCACAAAACACTGGTAAGGAACTCCCTTAACCCACAACATGAAATCATTGAGCCGCAATGCAACGACAAGCTCCAAAATAAGTAAAATATGTCTGTAGAGATTCTCAGTCATACACGTCATGGTATTTCCAATGACCTGTTGTTTAGCACTTGGAAGTACAACAACCCCCCCCCCATCTGCTCTATGTGTGTATCATGCTGTTTTTCACTTGAGGGGGAGACACAGTGAAGTCTGCATCCCTGTTTGGGACAACCTACCGCTGATTGCACTTCTTTGCTATTTCTTTCAAAAATACTTTTTCAATTCAGATGTAGTTCCAGCCAAAGCATTTGAGAAGTGAGTATGATATATGGGTTCAGTAATTCCGTATGGCTCTCTAAGGATATCAAATGATATGGCTGTTGATAGCAAAAAGGTTCCTTACCCTTGATTTTAATTCCAACTGCTAATACGTATAGCTTTAACATTAGTACCATAATGTGAGCTCTCAGTATTAGTAATATTAGTCACACTAATCCCTTTACTCACTGACAATTGGTCTCAACAGCCAGGAGCAATAGCAAACACTTAGAAAGTGACACCATGTTCTTGTCAAAAGCATGTGGCTCCTGAGCTGGTAGGTGACCTTTTAGAATATAGGACTAGATGGTGAATATCCCTTGTACATTTTAAGGTCTTCTGCACAATTTAAGTTACCAACTAACAGTAGATGTTAGCAGGTGTTAGGGGCTGCCAGCGGATGTTAAGGACGTGACCTCAGTTCTGCACCTTAGCATCATCAAGTATTTTGGCCTTGATACAGGTCAAACTTGAGGGTATATATCTTAGTCTTGATGATGGGTTTTGAAGTACCTATAGGTCCCACATCCTCTGCATATATCTCCTCTCTCTGGGATAGTTTGTATAGTAGCATTCCAACAGTTACGTATTTCCCCTTGTCCATCCATTTCTTGTTCCAGTAGCCCCAAATATTTTATCTATCTGAGAATGTGAAATTTAAGGTTTATTATAAAAGTAGCTTGAAATATTTGTACTGTTTGCTGATATTGAGGGTTTACCATTAGTTCACACTGACAATATTTCATGTAGTGTTGCTTCATGGGCTTGTTCATCAGGATTGTCCAAATTGAATCTTCTTTAAGCTCTTCTCTGTTTGTTATTTAAGTCACTCCAGTTTTTCTTGTTCCTAGTTTGGTTTTACCATTTGCATTCTATACTGTCTTTACAGTCTGTAGTTTGGTTTATGTTATTGGTTGAGGGAGGGGCCAGTTTTCCTTTTAAAAAGCTGTAGGACCAAGCTGCAAAGAGCCAGTTTTTTGAATTTCAAGGAATACAACACTACATGTATTAATGTAAGTGCAGTTTATTTTTCAGATTGCCTTAGATAGAAATCAGTGAATAGATATTTCTCTCTGCATGGATTGAGCTTGAACTGTCCTTTTTTCACTGGATAAGCAAAATCAGCTTGTTAAGTCTGAATGAAAACACTGTGTGTGTTCCAGGATGCTTCTTTCAGGGGTTTTCTGCCTCCTGATGATGCTGACAGCTGAGGCTGGAGTTGGGTAAGAAACCTGGATTCATTCCCCTTTTAGCAGATGTGTGCAGGGAACCAAAGTTACAGAGTGTAATAATAGTAATAGTTGTTTTATTTTTATAGCACATATCTAAACAGTGTTACAAAGTGCTTCAAAAAAATTCAGGGCAAAGCTAATCCAGCTAATGAAATAAACTAATGGATAAATAAGTGATGGAAAATTCACATTTTAACTCAGAGTCTGGCACAGGTAATTATTACTGCACCAGTGCCGTTTTAATAATGTTATTATTTCAAAGGAACTCCTCTGGGTTACTCACCTGTACTGAGACAGAGGATTGTCTGCTGTATGATCTGATTTCTGACCATTTGGATTTTGAGGTGAGTGTCTCTGAACAAGAGAGAAACATTTTCACATTTCAAGTGCCAGAAACTTAAAAATAAAATATATCCTCCATGTTTGCTCGTGTCCCGCAGGAACGTCACTATGAATCTGTGAAGTGGGTTTCTACTAATGAGATGTCCTTCTCCATGGACTTTGCAGCAATGGATTCATTCAAACGACTACTGGAATACTTCGACGGTGCCAACGACAATGGTTCATATGCTAAGTCTATTTATTCATGTTTTATTTAATACTCTTTATAAACAGGTAGTCTCATTGAGATTAAGATTTATTTTCAATAACTGCTACAATTCAAAAGTGCTTTAAATTGACATTTTTGTGTGTTTGCTATATTATTCCAATTTCTGACATTACTAAATAAGAATTTGCTCTGCTCTCTTACTGTCGTCCTTTAGGAACAATAATGGCTGCTACATTCCCTGTTCTTTTGAAAATACCTTTCAACATTTCTTTGGAAAGTGCTGTCTTCATTATCAGTTTCTTGCTGCCAGCTGAATATCAGACAGCCCCCCCCAGTCCCATGAATGATATGGTAAACATAAAAAACACATCAACAATTGTTTGGCCATAATCTTGATCATGTTTGATCTGATTCTGTGACATTGACCAAAGCCTCTGGCAGTTAATGAGAGTTGACTTGCAGGTGTATATCCATGAAACGCCCAACATGACAGTGTTCACAAAGAGCTACGATGGATGGATGACAGTCATGTCTGACAACGTCACAGCAAGCAGTCTGTCATTTCATCTCAACTTAGTTGGTGTGAAATACATAGAAGACTTCTACTATGCTGCCATATATAACGAGTAAACAAATCCCCATCATTCTCTCATAATCAATCATTCATCATAATCAGAAAGAAACAATAAGAGAAAAGTTAAATGGCTTATTAAGTGATGATTTCTGTGTGTTGTTCCTCGCAGTGTGACGACAGAGATTAACAGGTACAACGAGGTGTGGTTTGTTGGTGTGGACGAGTCGTCAAGCTCCAGTAGCTCTGATAGCTCCAGCAGTTCCAGCAGTGATGAAATGGACTAGTCGCCTGCCTGTCGAGATGTTGCAGATGGACTTCTACTTAACATCCTCAAGTTATAATGTGTCATCTGAAGAAGCCTCTGATGAAAGCCCAGATTTAGATTTAGGATTAAATAAATTCACCCTATGTTAGATGGGATGAAGGTTTTAAGCTGGCAGGTTTTCTTCTATACTCAATAAAGTTACCTTTTCACTGGGATTTCTTGTGGTTAGTCTTGATTGAGCTTCCTGTTTGGACCAAAAAACTAGGAGGGAAATCAGAGCTCACATGCCTGCACCCTATTTCACCATGTTTCAGCAGGTGTTGGAAAAAAGCCTAGATTTATCCATTTACCTGGATCTGCTACAAAATATATTTGCAACTTAATTGATCTGCTTGTTTATCCTGATCCACTCATAAACTGAATGAGATGTTTCTTTGGGCATGCACCACCCCTCCACAGAATATCATGGAAAGTGGTGCAATACTCAATAGAGTGACATCTTTAAAAGTTCCCTTATGAAACCACATTTAAATTCACTTGACCCTGATTTTTATTTTGATCCGCACTAACTTGCACACACGGATAAATATCAGTCCACTAAACATGCCAGATTTTATTTCATCAAGATCCATGAATAATTTTCAAAAAAAATAAAAAAAGAATCTCACAATGTAAAAAAAAAAATGGAAACAATCCTTAATCTACCCTCTGATTCAGATCTGCACAAAGATTTTATTGGTTCTTCCACAAACTTTCATGGAAATTGGGTCAGCAGCATTTGCATCATCCTCCTGACTGATAAACAGATATGAAAACATAACCTCATTGGTGGAGATAATCAGCTAGTTTAGTATGAGGGCTGCCAAAAACAAGCTATTGTCACGCAAGTTTAGAGCAATAAAATTGAATACCACTGGATGGCCGTACTCAATTCAACAAGGGCAGAATTAAACTGCTCTGTACTTTCCAGCACTTTGGCTTTTTCTTTGATATGCAACAGGGACCTTTGAATATTTTTTATTTCATGCAGATTTTACATAAGCGAATCATCTGGTGACAATAGTAGATGGACTTTTTTATTGATGGATGTCATAATCCAGTTACAATCTAATGTGCAGGTGTCATAACCATCCACCCTTGAACTGCCCTCCCTTTGACTTTGACGTCATCGTGAGATCCATTAAAGACGTCTCTGGGATTTGGGCTGTTGAACGGCGACTTATCACCTCAGGGGATGACAATGTGAAACAGCATAATCACCCAGCGTTACAGCGACTGATACAAGTTTTCAGAATCTATTGATCTTTCCTGAATTACTTAATAAAGTGGATAATCCACCTGATCAACTCAAATGAGTTCATGCATGAATGAACATTGGAAAGTACTGTAACTGAGATGAGAAATACTTGTCTGCCACTAAATACTAAATCCAAAACATTTTAGGAGGAGTTTGTACTTTTTTGCTGAACTACACCTACAACAACTACAGTTACCACTTAATTTAGCACAAAGATGATCAGTTCACAAAATATAATACATTGCTAAAGATTAAACTAGTGTCTCATAGTTGTACGTAGTTAGGCCCCTCATCTCCAATCACTTGTGAGTGACTTCACTGCAGTGAGAATCCAGCTGGTGGCTGCCAGGTTGGTTGGCTGGCTTACTGACTGACTGACAATCTGTATAGGAGTGCCATTCAGGAGAGGTTTTATGACGCTCACTACAGATCAAAGTCCACCTGTGGGCCTCAAACGACCATCAGTCCACCGGGGCTGCTCGGCCTGCCTGTTGCCCTGTCTCTGTCTTGGCCACGGCGTCTGTCTGGTCTCCTGATCTCTGCAACAATGAAGATCAGCCTGGACTGACTGTGGAGTTCAAGACCCACCTGCCGGAATGGACCTAGCAGGTTATCACCCACAGCCGCCCCAGCCTCTTGTCCAGCACCCTGGCAGCTACCCGGACAATGAGTTATATTCAGAGGGATCATCAACATGTGAGTGCAGGATGGACGTCCACTTGGTTGAACTTGTACAGTATGTATGTTTTGGATGTCTTTTTTTCAGTGTCTGGAAATCTGTGTCATGTTCTGATACGAAAAAGACAGTTCTTCCCTCCTCATGAAATTCCAGAAGAAAAGAAAGAATTAAAATGTTGTGCCACAGATTTTCATTTGTTTCACCTGTGTTCTCTCAGTATTATGTAAGGGTCATATCTGCTATCATAGTCAAGGAAATCAAGCAGAGAGATAAGGCACAGTCTGCAACAGAGGGACGGTCCTGTGCTGCTCTCAATGTCTGAGCAATAAACATCAGGAGATGACACATTTCCATGTCAGCAGCAGAGCAGACAAAGAGCTAGCACTCCGATCTGAGGGTGCGTGTTAGATATAGATCCTCTTAATGGCTGACTTGAAATATTACCTGCACGGGTACAAAAGTGGAGGGCCATGTTATAAATTATCCTACACCAACGAAAAGTAGGAGGTGAAATAAATGCCATAAATCTAACGCTAGCTTCAATTCAAGTGTCTCTCCCATCTGTGGTTCGATCCCCAGCACTTCCAGTCTGTATTCTGAAGTGTACTTGGCACAGATATAAGATGCTGAACCCCAAATTGACCTTAACTGTGTACCTGTGCTGATGGAGGATGAATGTGATAAAAAGGTGTTGAATATGAATGAATGGGTGAATGTTATTTGTGCTATGTAAAAAGTATATATAAATCCACACACATTGTTTGTATTACTATTACCAGTGGAAGCAATATAACAAAGTGAGAAGTCTGCTAACCATCTTGTGCCATGTTAGCCATGTTACCATCATAAGCAGCAGGAGCTTGTGTCACGATGTACATCTGATTAAATGATAACTGTCGTTCTCCAGCTCCGGAGTTAAAGACAGAGCCACACGGCAGAGCAGAGACAGAGGAGAGCTGTCCCATCTGTGGGGACAAAGTGTCAGGATACCACTACGGACTGCTCACTTGTGAAAGCTGCAAGGTACGACACAGGGTTTTGGGTGGTCTAACCCATAACCCTAACCCTAACAGCACCAGTCATAAAAACGATGCATATGTAATATTGCCACTGTGCAATTTTCTTATAACTTTCTCTCTCTGCAGGGCTTCTTCAAACGCTCAGTGCAGAATAACAAGCATTACACCTGTGCAGATCAACAGACCTGCCCCATGAACCTTTCCCAGAGGAAACGTTGTCCTTCCTGCCGCTTCCAGAAGTGTTTGGCAGTGGGCATGAAGAGAGAAGGTCCCCCCCACACACACAGAAACATACACGTATACTCTCATGCAGTAGGGCAGGTCTTCTGCTTGATTGCAACATGCCTTCTGTTCCACTGACATGCATTGTCTTCTCTCCAACATGATTTATCTGAGGAGTCATAAACAAGTGCAGGTAGTGCCTGTAATGACCAAGATTACATATAATGACGTTGTCTTGAGGAGGTAGTCTGAGCTCTTAAAGTGAAGGGGACATAATATCATTTCAGGCAGTGTCTGATAATGTGTAGTAAAACTTTCTATTTTTCTTCATGTCCTGTCAACAGCTGTAAGAGCAGATCGTATGAGAGGTGGCAGGAATAAATTTGGACCTCTGTATCGACGGGACAGGCAGATGAAGCAGCAAAGGGTTGATTCACAAGCAAACACCGCTCCCTACAGGATTAAGATGGAAACTGCTCAAAGACACTGTCCCTCAGCTGTAAACGACCTTCACCCCATGAGCAGTCACACAAGCACTTTGTTGTCCTCTGATGCTTTTTATCAACCCCACATGTATTCCTCGGGCATGGGGCAGTCAGGCGTGTCAATGCCACTGGACTGCACAATGCATGCAAACCGGGGGCTCACTCCTCCATCCCTGCCATGTCCTACACTGTACTGCCGCACTCTCCCTGCATTTGTCCAGGAGAAAGGAGAGATGGCTTTTAGCTGCAGTGCGGCTCCCGCAAATTATCCATTGCACCCAACCCCAAAGAGTTGCTTTACACCAAGAGGCACCCTAGCATCATCCCCCTGCTCCACATCAAATTCAAATACTGCTCTTTCCCAAGCTCTAATCCAAACACCGGACACTCCCCCACCAGCCCCTCTTACAACCAACTTCTTAAGCCAACTCCTGCAGGGTGAGCAGGATGAGAGCCAGCTGTGTGCCAAGGTCCTGGCCAGCCTGCAGAAGGAACAGGCCAGTCGAGGCAAACATGACCGCCTAAATACATTCAGCATCATGTGCAAAATGGCTGACCAGACTCTGCACGGTCTTGTGGAGTGGGCCAGGAACACTGCACTCTTCAAGGAGCTCAAGGTGACAGATCCTTAAGTCATCTCACGTATTAGACAGCAGCTGTGTGATGAGTCCTATGACACACAGGTCAAAGATTGTGTCCTCTAATTTCAATATTAACCTTACTTCACGTAGGTGGAGGACCAGATGTCGCTGCTGCAGAGCTGCTGGAGTGAGTTGCTGGTCCTGGACCACCTCTGTAGACAGGTGGCCTATGGTAAAGAGGGATGCATATATCTGGTCACAGGACAACAGGTACAACAGGCACAACAAAACTGCCTCCGTATGATAATCAAACATGTCTTTGGATTGTGGTTGTTCATATTATGCACAGAATTATTACCTTCCTCTCATTCTGATTCAGATTGAAGTGTCGAACGTCGTATCTCAGGCAGGAGTGACACTGAGTAGCCTGGTATCCAGGACCCAAGACCTGGTGTCCAAACTGAAGACACTCCAGTTAGACAGACATGAGTTTGTCTGTCTCAAATACTTGGTGCTATTCAACCCAGGTGAGCTTTCCCTTTTAAAAGAAAAGCCATTAGTGTCACTGTAAACAACATGTTAGATTTATTGTGACTTTTATTTTTTTCTTCCATGCTGTAGCATTGAATATGTGTGCACGTGTGTATAATGTGTTTATGATGAATACACACCCTTTTCTTCATGCTCTAGATGTGAAACATGTGCAAAATCGCAGGCAGGTGGAGCAGACTCAAGAGAGGGTGAACAGGGCCCTGATGGAGCACACGCAGCGAAGTCATCCAGGACACTCGGATAAGTTTGGCCAGCTGCTGCTTCGCCTGCCTGAGGTGCGAAGCATTAGCTTGCAGGTCGAGGAATATTTGTACCAGCGCCATCTTCTGGGAGACTTGCCCTGCAACTCTCTCCTCACTGAGATGCTTCACACCAAGCAC